TACCGGATTCAACACTGCCGGTAATAGATATTATATTGATAACAACATAAATATAATTCATTAATGACAAAAATAAAGCTCAATACAAAAAATAAATTAAAGATAAAGTAGTAATAAACACCAAGTTTAATCTTAACTTATTATATAAATCATAAACATAAATTAATTATTCACAGAAAAAAAAAATGAATGCATGGTATATTCTGGAGAAGTAAAAAATATAGTTCTGTTTTAATAAGAAAATATCAATTTAAAAATAATAAATTAGTTAGTTGATGTTTCTCCACCAATTGCCACAGATGTATTTGAACCAGACCTTCTTTTCTTCTTAGGTGGTTGCTCTTCAACTTCATTAGGTCTTTTGTTACAAATGATTTCTTCATCGCTTTCCTATATCAATAATACAGCAACATTCAAAATACAGTCCTTCATTAATTACTCAAATTTATTTCTACTTACATCTGAATTATTTTGTTTGCTAAGCATATCCTGAACTTTTTGTACATTGAGCCTGAAGTCACGGGTAGCAGTTAGTTTGAGATTATTTAACAAGCTCTGATCCTGTTTATTYAACATAGTTTAACAACTCATTTTATTATTATATTTATGTAATATAATCAAAACTACTGACTAGAAAATAGTAATAACGATAAAAGATCAGTAAAATAATAACCTTGCATTTTTTCCCCAATTTAGTAATTAGGTTCACAAATAGTTCCAATTCAGTGACCACTCTGGGAATATAAGATGCTTGACGACGAGTTTGATTTTTTAATTGAACAGACTTTTTCTCCTTATCTGTCAATGGTCTATCATACTGAAATATAAATTAGTAATTAATTTTTAACATTGTTGATGAAATATAGATCAATTAAAGGTTTTTTACTTCTATGAACATGATAAACTTAGAAACATTTGGCGACAGTTGATCATTGACAATTTCGGACAATTTTCCCAATCTACAAAAGCAATTTTAACATTATCACTCTGTCAAAAATTTTAAAAACAAGAGTCTACTCAACAAAGCTTGCTTGTAAACCGGTTCRTGTAYGGTGGAACGTGACAGAAAATGTTTGGTAACCACATTTATGGTCTTATAGACTTGATACAATAAATTGAAAACAGACTCTGTACATTGGCCTAATGGGATAACTGATCTCGTAAATGAAGTTACAGACAACACCACTAAAACAATACGATGACAGATGGCTTTTTCTCGTGATTTCAGTCGGTCTTGACAAATAATCTTAATTTTTCTTTGTGATGCATTCARCTCAGCCTTGATTCGWGATAAGCATTGCATGACATAGTTTAACTCATTACACAGGCTTTGACACAAGACAGGACATATCATTGCTCTGTTCCAAGTTGTTATTAATTTCAATGGCCGCATTTGTGACTGGTTGGATTTATGGGACTATTGAAACATGACAAATCAAAACACTTGGTTAACAATAAACATTCCATAATCAACTAAAAATAAAAGCCTTTTGATAATAATATTCTTTTAAAAAATAAACTCAAATGAGTTTATTTAAT